TCGTCGTTACCAAAGCCTTTGACGTTGACCTCTGTCATGCAAAGTAGAAAGCCAGTCGACGCAGACTGTGGGGCAGGACTTCCTCGACTATCCTCTTCGATACCTTCGATGTCGTCGATATAAGTGCCCTTTGTGTACAGATTCGTGAGCTTCCTCACGAAAGGTGCATTTCTGTTGTCGCCAGCGGCTTTCAATGCTGCAGTCTCAAGTTGTCGGACAACACCAACTTTGTGACCGGCAGCAACTAATCTCTTGACATGCACATGCAGTCGATGAACCGGGATACTTGCAGAGGCAAAACGATCCAGGTGTGCCTCTGATGGATGTTCATCGTATCGATATTTCCCCGGTATACAAACGATGCTGAGTTCTTTGGCCGCAATTCTGGCGTCTTCGCCAAAGAAACGGAACTTGTAACCCACTTCGACCACAAGCAAGGTGTCCATGTGCGCTCTCTTGATCTCTAAAACTTGTTTTTCCATCGGCGTCAACTTATTGCCACTTTTCTTGGTTCGAGAAGTCGATTTAGGTGCCTCATCCACAGGCTCGTCCTCTCCATCATCATTGTCCTGGTCCGCAGTGTCATCTTCGAGCAGCCGGTTTCGCCGTTTGATTTCGGCGATGCTGTCTGGCTTTCCCAACTTCTTCACAAACTTCCGATGTAGTTCGTCTCTTCGTCTTTTTTCCACACCACTGACTTCCTCTGTATCCTGGTTTTCTTGCTGAGGGGACGAAGAATAAACGTATTTCGCTGTCCTGTTGGATGCTTGGGAGTCAGTCGTGCCGAGAGTTTGTCCATTGGCAACGACGGGTCTCAGCGGTATAGCAGGTTCTTCGTCTTCCACCTCTTCGACATGTCCAGTCTTGTCATTATCCTCTCCGGCAGGTGTGATGCGGCGTCTCTTGGGTATTGGCAGTACCAGCCCATCATCTTCATCATCTACTTCTGTGGCGATTTGCGGACGATCTTTGGGTGTGGGAGTTGAGGGAGGCCTCTTGAAGAAGGAAGATATCGTCTGCTGCTTCTTCTGCGCAGAAGCCATAGAGGGAAGTCCCACAATCCTGTCTGCAACGAAAAATCTATGGGTTGTTAAAAGTCTCTGTGGGCTGAGAACATCAAAGACAAACCAGGCGTCATTCGAAGAAAGCCACAAATCCGCCAATGATGGTGCGAGATGAGACGCGTAACGCGACGCGTCTCGGGAAGGAATAATTAAAGTGCTATCAGTTTAGAGGGCACCTGTGCGAACAAAGATCCTCTAACCGTCACACCGAATGAATCTTTGCTCCAGCCATCTACCTTGGTCTCTGGACACTTCCCATAGACCTCATTGTTTGTCATGCAGGGGAGTTGCCACATGAAAAACAATCCTCGCTTTGGCGAAGCGCCAACTGCAATTACAAAATCAACTCCCACTCCGTCCAGCCCGGTCTCTCTGCTGCCCACGAGCCTGCCTTCGACCTTCCCATGCCGTTGTCGGGTATGACCTTTAGGTGCCTTGTAAGGGGCTCGACAGTCCTTCAACCTTAGGAGTGGGACCTCAATACATAGAGGCCAATATTGTCACATGCGGCAAACATGAAACTGATCCACGGATTTGATACGAGGTTTCTCTTCACATTTTGAAGGTCAAGGAACAAACGATACCAGCCCTGTCGTTGACCCAGAGCTTGTCCACCTCGGCTATCATACCTGATGGACTATCCATGTGTCAATAATATTGTCAGTGTCGGGCTGATACAGCCACCGCATATCGTCAAAGTTGTCAACACTACTCGCATCTACCACCTTCCCCTCGCGCACGAGCTTTTCTCTGTCCGCCATAGGTAATCGCTGGACATTGGTCTTGTTTGTTGCCCAGTCAAAGACTGCATCCACACGTGCCTGACGCAGGGATTGCCAGAACGCCAATACATTCTTGAGCTCCAGTGTCGGCCTCGACTTGAGTAAAAGTAGCACCCGCGTTAGAACGTACACGTCCTCCAAGGCCTGATTCACACCCTGGCCACTGCTTGGGGGCAATGCGTGAGCGGCATCGCCCATGATCAGGACCCTGCCAGCTTTTTCCGAATACCATTTTTTCAACGGTGCCATTCGCATGAAGGGCCACAGAAAGGTTGTGTCGACATGTCGACAGACAGCGTCAATGATCCCTTTTGCTGTTGAGCTCTCCCATTTGTCTCGAGTGTTTAGATAGAAATCACGCAGAAACTCTTTGTCCTGCGCAAGCGTTTCCCACACCTCACGGCTACGGTCTTCCATTCTGACCTGCATTGCAACCATGACTATGCTTCCTTCCCGGTCTTCAGGCATCAGGACCAATGCTCCCGGCTTTCCCTGAATCGTGCATGCGCGCTCGTAGTTCTCGTACGGCCACTCAACGGAGTTCCAGGGGATATGGCTCAAGACACCTGCGACTCCCGTGTACTCGGGGCCGGGATCGTCTGGACTGACATATTTCCTCACCGAGGAGTGAATCCCATCGGCTCCGATCAACATTCCAACTGATTCAACCCGCCCGTCGACCTTGAAACTGACACCGCCTTCGTCTTCGTTCACTACACCTTCGAACCTCGCCCCCCAACATACCCTGACGCCTCGCTCCCTCACCATGGCCAGCATCGTTTCCACTAAGATCCGCCGCCATAACCGGTGGTTCTTGTACCCGTAGAGTGCCTCGTTGGTGATGAGTGTCTTTCGGGTCGTCTCGTCACGTTCGTTCTTGTACGTGCGATACTCGGAGAGCCAGCATTTCGATGAGATCTGCGCGAGGACACCCAGTGAGTCGAGCACGCGCAGACCGTTGGGCGTGAGGACCACGCCGGATGAGTTGGCCGGGTCGGGGGTGTCGGCGTGGCGGAAGTCGTAGACGGTGATGTTGGAAGGGTCGGAGAGCTGGTGGTGCAAAAGAGACAAGGTGATGGAAAGACCCGTCAGGCCGGCGCCAATGACTGCAATCGAAGAGCTGGGCAAGGATGACGAGGGTGAGATGGTCATTGTTTCTTGCTCTTCGTCGGATACAACAAGCAGGTTTGAGGGAATGGGATGTCTTCCGTCGTTGACGACAGCGAAATGCGGGGCGGGGTTTTGACATTCATCTAGTGGCCGGTGCCGACTTGTATAGTTTTCTTACAAGCTCATTCACCCTGACCTTTCTTAATGGTTCATATATGTACTACAAATGTGATCATGACTTCTCCCTCCCGCTCCAACTTGACTGCACCCACCTCTGCCACAGGAAAAGTTACGCTCCTCGTCCTCGGTGCCGGCTGGACGTGGCAATTTCTCGAGCCGCTCCTCAAACAAAAGGCCGACATTACATATGCGGCCACCACGACCGACGGGCGTGTAGGCACGATCCCTTTCAAATTCGACCAAGATTCGGACAACCTGGAGGACGCCATCAAGCGGCTTCCACTCGCGGACTATGTCCTGATCACCTTCCCACTGAAGGGGAAAGGGCCGTCGAGGAAGCTGGTGAGCATGTACGCAGCGACGCATGGGCAACACTGTGACCGCAGGACAAGTGACACACCCGCGATAGTTAATCGGCAAGGCGACGATGAACGGAATGCGCGGGCAGGCGGCATCACTACGACGACGACGATTACAGAGACGAAATGGATCCAGCTCGGCAGCACGGGGATATGGACGTCCCCAAATTTCGTCGATAGCCACTCGCCCATTGACCCGTCCAATGAGCGGGGAATCGCAGAGGACGAGCTCACCTCGCTGGGCGGATGCGTGCTGAACCTTGCGGGGTTATATGGCGCACAGAGGCAGCCGGGCAACTGGATCGCGCGGGTGGCAAAGACCAAGGACCAGCTCGGTGAGAAAGGTGCGTTGCACCTGATCCACGGGTCGGACGTTGCAGGTGCGGTGGTGGGGGTCATCGAGGCAGATCGCGCGGAGACCGACAAGAACGCCAGCGGCGAGTGGTCGCCAACAACAGAGAAGCTGTTTGGCAGGAGATGGATTGTGGCCGACTGCGTCTGCTACGACTGGTGGAGCGTCGTGTGGGATTTCAGCGGGGACTCGAGCGAAGACAGTCACAGAGACGAGGAAGGCGCGGAACAGCAGACGAAACTCGCAGAGAGAAGAAAGTATAGACGTTGGGTCATGGACTTGATGCAGGACAAGGGCGTCAAGGCGCTGCCGAGGCCGCTCGACGCACTGGGTAGGAAGCTGGATGCTCGCGAGTTTTGGCAGGCCGTTGGGATTCTCCCAGAGAGGACATTGAGGAGATGATTCAGTATCAACGAAGCCAGAAAGGGATTTCACGTCCACGACAGGGAGACTCCTACCTCAAAGTGGCTGTTGACGGTTGCCACGACCAGCGTCGCTCTCTCCGCGTCACTCACGCCACTCTCTGTCACAGTTGGTCAAATCGAATGGGAGACACGGAAGAGCACAGAGCAGCTGCATTCACTTACAGACAAGAAGACGGGGCTGACAAAGAGGTTACAAGGTCACCTGTACACCTCAGATGATCATCGACAACACCAAAGAACAACCCCAGAAAAGTACAATGGACGAGGAAGGAATGATCCACAAAAAGACCTTTGATAATCACGAGCGAATCATGCCTCGTGACGCAGGAAAAGCCCAATTTCTGTCTGCGAGCCAATTGCTGCTTGATTTTTGCTGAAGACTGCTTACTGCCTCTTATGAAACACGTTTCTCTCATAGAGCTCGACAATATGGTATCCCTAGCGCTCCTTCCTGTAAGAGCAACCTTACAGAGCTCTTGGTCTGATATTCTCAGCGTACTGACAACTGGAATGGTATGTCCCAGCTCATTTCCCAACTCAGGCTGCTATTGACCAGCTTTTCCGTGCTGCCATGCCCAATCCTTCCAAGTAAGTTAGTTGTAGCCTTCCAATGGACTTTCAATTCCATGCTGCAGGAACAGAGCCTCGGCCTTGCAACTCAGGCAGTCCCTACAGCAATATCCCGACATGACATTCATCAACACCTTTCCAACTTTGTGGCTCATGCGCTACCAGGTCTCCTCCAACTTCCTCTTCCTCGTGGTCGCGCTCTCTTGCTGGCGGTATACCTTGATACTATCCCCGCTTCGGAATCCATTCTCTTCCACCGTGCCTACGGTGCAGTCTGCCGAGAAAATGTTGGACCGATCCGGCAACCACTCCTTTGCTTCGTTTACAACGATGCCGGTGCATCGGATGATCGCAAAGCGCAGGAGTTCCAGGCTTTCATCTATTCTTTTGGCAATCTTTTCCAGCAATGTTATCATGGTATCATTGCCCAGACACAGATCATATGTTCCTCCTTGAATTGATATTTGGTCGGAGCGCTGAGTTTGACGCTGACAGCGGAGCCTTTCACGATCTTCTGCTCGTACAAGCTCATAGTATCAAAGATACTGCTGCCGCAGAACGAAAGCATGGAGTCGTGCAATGGAATACCATATTTCGCATGAATCCTCTCTTGAAGTCGTCTTCCAGTATCGTTCCACTGCGCTCTAACCCAACCCCACACTGGCCATGGAGATGCAAATTCCTGGTGAGGGAGACGGATGAGAAGGTCGTACTGCATTTCCGTTGGTCGTGCCGAGATGCGGAGAACTGAATCAACAGGACGTGGTAAAGGGCGTTGAGGGTCGTAGTACGGTCCATTCAGTGACAACTGACTACCATCAGGTCCGTGAAGACTGTACGAGAAGATCTCCATGTCATTGAAACTCTCTGGTCTGAGGTCTTTGATGGCGGAGACTAAGTCACCAACATTACCGCAAGTTCTCAAGTCAGGGGCGAGGATGGCAGGCTTTTCCAAGATGACAATGGTCTCCATGTGTGCTCTGTTTGTCATGATCTGAGGGTGGTGGTGAGATGGGCTTTTGCGAGCCAAGGTGAAGCTGAAGGCAAGGCACTGTGAGAGGCTAGCTGTAAGAAGAGATGCCTTGGTCCGAGTCTTGATGTAGTCAGTGGCGTCTTCGTGGTGATGAAGTGCCGACAGTGGACAAATGAGCCGCAAGTGAGAGCTCTTTGAGTGTGAGGATGACGGAAGATGGAAGGCGAGTGTTTGACCGATGCCTCAGTCTTCAAAACCCCCTGAGGCTCCAGCGTTGTGCATCACCAGCCAGCCCTCGTACTGACAGAAGTACAAGCGCAACACTAGATCATTTACCTGGTCTGGCTTTACCTGTGTCAATGTTTCTATGCGGCTCCGAAATCAAGCTTCTTCGCCACGCCCTTGAACTTGTTCTCGTCGACAAACCCTGGGGCGGCCACTTCCGCAGCAGCCATTTTCGAAGCGCCGCCGCCTTGCTTGGGAAGGTTCTCCTTGCTGGTCGGCCTAGGGTCGATCCTCCACCACTCATGCTCCAACGCCCCTCTTGCCGTCACTCTCTTCCGTGGATCAAGTTTTAGCATTGCCATGAGGAGATCGACGCCAACCGCCCCTGCCGTTGGGAACATTTGCATGTAGAACGGCTTCTCGCGCACCGGAATTTTCTTTTCAAGGTCGAAATAGTCCCGCAATTTGGAAACTCCTGGCCAGTTCTCTTCGTTTGGTGTTCCTACAGCTTCGCAGATTTTGTCGAGCTGGGCGACTGTTCCTCCACCCGTCGCCAGCACTTCTTGATTAGCCACATCGGCTGCTGCATATGGTCTCCGAATGAGAAGTTCCGCAAAGACCATCCCAATGCTCCACATGTCGACCGCACCACTGTATTGTCTCGCTCCAAACAGCAACTCCGGAGGACGATACCAAAGCGTGATCACCGCAGAAGTCATTTGATAGCGTGGATCACCAAAGGAACGTGCCAGACCAAAATCTGCCAGCTTCACTTCCCCATCCGCGGCAATCAGCAAGTTGTTTGGTTTGATATCTCGATGCAAGATGAAGTTGGAATGGCAATAGTAGATAGCACGACACAGCATTCCCATCCACGCCTTGACATCGGCAGCACCGTAGCTCACCGTCTTGTCGCGGATCAGCTCTTCCAAGTTGCCGTTGGGAAAGTATTCAATGACCATGTTGATATTTTGGTCCTTGGAGGAAAATACGTCTAGCAAGGCAACGATGCTTGGATGTGAGATTTCTTGGAGATATTTGATCTCGCGGATCGTGTCAACATTGAGTCCCTCGCGTTGCTGTGAAGGGTCGACTTTGAACTTTTTGATGGCTACAAGCGTGTTTGGATCTGATCTCAAATGTCCTTTGTAGACAATGGCGTATGTTCCCTCGCCCAGTTTCTTTCCTATGGACCTCATCAGTAAGTTCGGGCACGGCTGGGAACGCAAATCTGATACCAACCTTTGACATACTTGTCGCTGATATCCTCGTTCATCTGCTCGGCCATATCGAAGTCTGCAGGTGGTCGGTGAGCAGGTGGGCCAGGAGCTGAAGATTGAGGTTTGGATATCGACTTCCTCATTGCGAGTGATTTTGCTTTTGATGGTGACATGTTTGCGTTTATATTCGATGGCGACCGTGGCATCAAAGGCGACGGAGCGTTTGATGAGGGTGCCATCTTTGGATCGAGCGAGTATGATGTGGGAGCAAGGGGAGCTTGGAAGTGGCAATGGAAGACCAGGAGCTTTGATATCTGCGATCGTTGTTGATGTTGTGAGCGCAGACTAGGGGTCAAGGGTGCAATTGCAATTCTTGAGGAGAAGATCTATTCGTGTATTCAATCCCGCTACCCATGTAGAACTTGCTTGCGCTGGATTTCAAGACAATCGAGTATCGCAACCCCAAGTTGGACGAGGCTCAAATGCAAGCTTGGCATGTTGACTGTTCCATCGCCTGCCGCTTTAATCGTAACCGTGGATGCATACACTTATCCAGGACTCCTGAGGGGGGACTGGATATGTTCATGACATCTGCTCTGGCTTCTCCTCCAAAGGACCGCACGCTGAAAGGGCGTTCTATAGTTTCAGGAAGAACAGGAAAGACCCAATATTCTGCCCGCGGCAGCAGGTGTTGTACAGCTTGTGAACCCAACCAGTCAAACGCAGGACAATAGACTCCGAACAAGTGTCTTTGCAACAGCAAACTTCCACGTTTGAACATTTACGTTCGGTTGCACATGTAAAGCATTCCCTAAGATCAACCTACAGGAGAGAGGGAGCGCTTTCAACTTCTGTCGCTGGGAGAAGGTATGCTCCGTGGTTTCTTCGGTCTGGCCAAGTAAGTTGAGTGAACAAGGCAGCGCATCCCCCCTTCCTGTTCTGGAAAAGTGTCCTTGCGGCAACTTTTTCGTCTGCGGTCTGCGGCCATCACATCTCAATCCGTAAACTTCCAATAATAATTCTTGTCTATCGTCAACCGCAACCACGGAACGCTGCAAGCTGCAATCGTCTCGGTCTTGATCTTACCAGTATAGCTGCCTGCAGATGAGGGTCTCTTAGAAACAACGCCTTCGACTATGATCACGCGACAACCTCATGGAGCAATCTCGCTCTTTGCTTCTTCCCTCCTCCGACCGTCTACATCTCTATCAAAATCCATACTACCTCAATCTCACGTCTGCGCGCCATGTCGACGACAATTACACCGCGGCTTGCCTGGTGGCGGCTACATCCCTGCTCCCACACCGTTCGTCCCCGATGTGCCCACCTTCCTCAAACTCATCGGGCGTGAACTCTCCAAGCACGCCAGCAAAATCGAGTCCTGGGAAGAACTCTTCACCTTGACCTCAAATCAGATGAAAACACGCGGCATCGATCCCCCGCGAACACGGAGGTATCTACTCCGCTGGCGAGAGAAGTTTCGGAAAGGGGAGTTTGGGATTGGAGGTGACTTTCAACATGTAAAGGATGGCGTCGCAGAGCTACGGGTCGTCGAAGTACCCAGTCTGAAAAAGGACCCCGTGACAGGAGATCCTATATCGGGTCCCGTCACGATCGGAAGGAGTCCTGGAATGCAGAAGCTGATCGTCAATGTGCCCAATGGGTCCGCCACGTACCAACTGGCTCCAGGACAGACGACCGCGGACCTGAAAAAACCGCATGGCTTTACGTTGAAAAACGGATACATCATCAAGGGCAAGCAGGCACATCCCATTGCAGGCACGCACGGCAGTGGTGTCACAGTCAAGGCGGTCGAAGGGCTATGGGAGCATAAGCGAGGGAGAAAGATCTATGGCGGAGAGAGGAGACGGGCGGAAACTCTGCATAAGATGAGAGTGGAGGAGAACAAGAAGAACGCGAGATAGACGAGGACATGTTGCGGGTCATGGAAAAGTCCAACTGGAGCCTCTTCGAATGGTCCCGTATTTGGACGTCGTATGTACGATAATTGTCGCTTGTATCATACGTTACTGGTCTCGTCACCTTGTACTCGGTACTTGATGGAGTCACAAGTTACCTAGTCACCAAATGTCGACTTTGACTGTGCTCAGGAACGAAGTTTGAGATTGCTGTGCTATTTCACCACTCTAACGGATCTGATGTAGACAGTAGTCACGTTATGAAATTTATGAAGGAGAAGGTGCGAGGTACGAGTAAGGACTTGCTTGAAGCTTCGATCTAGACTTAAACGGAAGGCAGAACCGCCGCCCTCGAGGAACTACTCCGTAGGTACATATGCTGCTTCCCCTCCGGGGCTCTAAAAATGCGGGTGCAATCGACAGGAACAAGCATGGTGTCCTGCAAATCCAACTTCTCGTCCATTGGACGTTTGAGCTTGAGCCCTTGAAGCCATGCATCACGCCCCCCACGCATAGCAGGCGAGGACTTCCGGTCGTCCATGCTTGAACCATGCTCGCAGCCTCAGCTCCCAGCAGTGTGAAATCTCGGGAGTTTCAGTTGTGTCTTAGCCGAGTCCGCGATTTCCATTTCCATCTGATCCGAAGAGGAAGTCCTTGTTGACTCTGCATATACGGAGTATAGGCATGCATTGTCAAACATTTGAGCATGCATGGTGGCTTTATTTGCGCCCCAAAGGTCAAAACTCTGGCACAAGACAGGATTTCAGCTACCATCACACTAGCTGAATCCCAAGGGCCAAGGAAGGAAAAATCTCCGACGGCTTCCATGCCTGGTACACGTTGAATTTTACCTGTCAAACGACTAGTCATCCCTCTGGATGTACCAGTGAACTTTTTTGCGGATGACAAGAAAGAACTGGACATGCAGTGCACAGTGCTGATTTTATTCATCCCGGTTGGGAATAGCTAAGAAGTGATCAGCATGTTTGATACACAGCTAGAAAATCCGGTTCCAGGAGAGCGGGTTCACAGGACAGGATTAGGAAGATCATTTGCTGATCATTGCCACTTTTCTATGAGGTACTTCCTCGCTAGTGGGCCTAGAATGGGTGTGAACGGGCCACCTCAAAGTCCGGCATGTCTCCAGATCATCATCACATACTCCGTATGCAAAGCTGGGTTGTCAACTGCAGACACCTTGTGGGTATGGCTGGATTGCTGTTAGGAGTGGCTATTGAGTTAGAGATAGTGCGAACGCAGTTGTGGTTGCAACGGAAAAGGCGTCTTAGACTATCTTTTTCTCACCAGGAGGTCCGTTGCCTGAAAGAGCAGGACACCATCCTCTCACTGACCCTTTGAGCGAAGCAGGTTGGTTGCACGTTGCTGATGGATCAATTCGCCCAAAGCTGTCTCATGGACCGAAATGAAGATGTTCTCGCTTGGTGGGAGCTCAACAACGATCCGACTCTGTTACTGGAGGTGAGCACGGCCAGCTTTGCCAAGCAAATTGATCCAGGGGTAAACGGCCGGGGAAGCATTTGAGAAAGCCACAGTCGAGATTGGCGTCAACAGGGGTGGGGGGCTTTGGTGCCTTAGTGCGGTGATGTTTGTGCAAATTTCTCTGCTCCTCCGAGCT